CGCTTGCTGTCGACCAGAAAAAATACCGGAGCAAAATATTTCTAGATTATTCCTACTCCACAAGGTTAAAAAAAATTTACTATTTTAGTTCCACATGTGACTAAAACTATATCCCAGAGATCTAGCATGTTTCTTGGGCCAAAGATATATAACGATCTACCGAATAAATTGAAACAACTAAACTCAATATCTCTGTTCAAGAAGAAGCTGAAGTTATGGCTGATTTCAAGATCAAGAATTTCAACACATCGATAAGTCGATATAAAAAATATGATTGATATTAAAGTTGAGGCTGTGTGAAATAATTTCTTTCACACACTCGTTCTGTCAGATTTTTCTGTGGAAATCTGAGGCATGTCATCATCACATCAACACAAGTTATACTTTCCTGATTTTGATGATCGCGCTTGCCCCATATTTCATGATTAATTTATGACGTAAATATAACGTTTGAAACGATTCTATTGTACTAATTATCCTTACTTCACAACAAATTATAGTTACAATTCTTATATTCTGCTGAATACTCTCAATCTTTTTATGGAATTTGTGGTATTATTATTTAGTATTATTTTCTTGGAAAAAAATTACTTTGTTTACACTTTTCTTAAGCCATTTTTGTTCCAACTTTGGTCTAGTGTTCCTTTTATAATTAAGCTATATCTAAAACTCTCAAGCTAGTTGAAAACACATTCTTCTGGTTAACCTGTAATCTTATATTTACCCTTGTTTTCTTTTCCATTAATTTGACGGTATTTCAATTGATTCGTCAACATCACACCATAATAATATGTCACCACACACAAGCTGATAATATCAGCTTCGGTGGATTTTTTGTTTATTCTAAGCCTCGTATTAGTAAGTTTTTTAGAATATTGGAAACAATTAATGGCTTTTGCATCATCTGCTCACTCGTCTTTGCTTGTTCGTATTTTTTGTCCAAAAACAACACCGTAATCATGCCTCAGCCACCACATTCACCAGATTTGCCCCCTGCGACTTTTTCCTGTTCCAAAGATTGAAGAGACCCATGAAAGGAAGGCGTTTTTCGACTATTGAGGAAATTATACCAAAAAGTGCATATCAGTACTGCTAAGAGGATCGGAAAAAACGTTGAAGTGTGGTCATTGGTTGTTAATGCTGGCGCGCCATGCCGAATGTATCGGGGAATCGGGGGATAGTGCCCGACCAAGCGTAATCTTAGAGGGAAAATGATAATAATAATAGCTAGCTAATGAGTTCTCGACCATCAAAGCAATATATTCCATTGAACGAAATTTGCGGTTAACGCGTTACCATATTTCACCATGATTTTCTTTCACAGTTGGTTGTTATGTAACGGTCAAGTCAAGTCAATAAAATCAGTTTCATTAGAAGTAAAAATGATCATTCAAATATCAATTTGATGTTGACGAATCAAATGAAATACCGTCAAATTGATGGAAAAGAAAACAAGGGTAAAAATAAGATTACAGGTTAACCAGAAGAATGTGTTTTCAACTAGCTTGAGAGTTTTAGATATAGCTTAATTATAAAAGGAACAGTAGACCAAAGTTGGAACAAAAATGGCTTAAGAAAACTGTAAACAATATCAATTTTTGTTAAAAAAGAAATCAAAAACATGATTTGGCCTCTGGTTTTTGTTGGTTCAATCTTCCTCCAAATGTATATCTTCCGCAGTTCCGCAGCACTCGATGTCAATTCGGAATCGAGCAGTGTAAGTATATGGAGTTATAATCATATCTTGAATAAGCCATTAAGTATAACCCATTTTGGTGATCCAAAGAATAATTATGCATTGAATTTGCCAATATTTTGAAGTGACAAAGAGCCCTGGAATAAACTCCCATTGAAAAAACATATCTACTAAAGGCGATAATGAAAATAATCATGAGTTTATTATACTTATTATTGAGGGTAAGTCCATAAAAAACCACTGAATTGTATGAGATGAAAGTGCGGTTTTGCGATAATTAACTTCCAAACCCCATTTCAAAAGTCCAAATTCTCTGTCCTCAAAAGTATTAGTAGACGGCGTCATCATTTTGAGCATTCTCAAGTAGCAATTGATATAAATATACAGTGAGAAAAATAAGTGATGAAATGAAGTATACCATTTTAAAAATGGTGAGGCAACATTACCCACATTCATCATTATTATTAGTCAATCATTAGTTCTCGCATGTTGGGGAATTCAAGGCAATGTGAATAAGAGATCGCACTTGATAAATTACTTTGGATTATATCATAGCGGTCACTGCTTTTTTTATTATTATTTCTCAGTCCCCCAAGGTACAATATCCTGGTCCGCCTATGTTTCACTTTCAATTTACTTAACAGAAGTCCTGTGTTATTCATTTGGATATTTCCTTAAGTGATGTGAGTGAGTGATGACCTCTATCACTGAAACAACTGCTGTAATATTCATGATTGTTTTCTGACTACCCGTGTGCGACTAAGAAACTAGACTTACCATTGTTAGTTTTACCTTAATATTTCATAATTTTTCATATTTTTATCCCTGAACGACTTTTTAATTACATTTAAATATATTCCTTTCATTTATTCTATTGTTTACCTTATATTCAGGTTGTGTTACAAAGAAGTGAATCGATTTGTACAACAACTGACATTAACTTTAATTACTTCAGAACTGGTCGAGAGTTAATAACAGAAACACTTGAATACTCGGAAAATCTATACTTTATTTGTAAGTCTATTGATATTTCAATGTCTAGGGGTTTCAACAGTACAGTATTCGACCAAAATTTGGCAATGTACAGCTTGGCAAATTTTGCTGTGTCTAATGAGTGATATACAGTGTGTAAAAGCCAAATGGAATAAATTCATTATTTCGATTACTGTACATATTTAAAAAAAAATCCCGAAACACATCAAAAAAAAAATTGTGTTGCCCTGGATATTTTTGCAAATTTTTATGTTTTCGAGTGCCTAAATCACGAATATATTTATGAAAGTACTGTATGTGCTCTATTTTTTATGATTTTTACGTACCTATCTTGTATTTTTAATAATAATCGGCTTGTTAGTAAAAAAAATGTATTTTCTCAGTCATGATTAGGCTTCTGCGCAACTTCTTTGCGCGTACAAACATCACGTGATCCCCACTTCTTGGGCTCCTTGCTCTGTAAAACAGCTGAGAACTCAGTTATTTGATAATATTGAAGTACTAACACGGAAATCTGGATAAGTTGTTATATGTTAATATTTTGTTTCAATTGTTGAGTGTCCGTTCTAATATATTTATCTTGTCTTTTTAAACATGAGTTTGTCACGAAGGAAGTGCAAATATAGTAGTGATTTATTCTGTTATATTTGTGGTATTTATATATCAAAAAACAAAATAGAAATATCACAGACTTTGTTAAGGAAACTTATGCTGAATATTTCGGTTTTAAAATGGGCAAATTAGATAAATCATGGGTTCCTTATAAAGTTTGTAAGTCTTGCGTTGAGTCTTTGCGGTTGTGGAAAAAAGGAGAACGTTCTGGATTAGACTTTGGTATTCCTATGATCAGGATGGAGCCTAAGAATCATTTCGATGATTGTTACTTTTGCGTAGTAGATGCTAAAGGTTTTAATCGAAATCAAACGTGAAGATATCCAGACTTACAGTCTACAAAATGTCCTGTTTTACACAGCGAAAATCTCCCTCGGCCTATTTATGTTTCAAAAGTGATTCGCATGCCCTCAGAAACAATGATGTTGCCAAATTCACAGAAATCGAATCAGTCTACCAGTGGAAGTGAATGGGAGGGTGAAACATCTACGCCAAAGTTGTTTTCTCAAAATGAACTCAGTGATTTAATACGTGATCTAAATTTATCAAAACAAGGATCAGAACTGTTAGCTTCAAGATTGAAAGAAAAAAATTTATTGGCACCGACAGTTACAATTACAACGTACAGAACGCGAGAAAGTGAGCTATTACAATTTTTTAATGAAAATGAAGGATTGGTATACTGTAATAATATTGCGAAGCTGTACCTTATTGTACCTTTAGATATGGGCGGTAAATTAAGAAATTTCTCATGAAATAGGCGAGCTACTACCTGTTGTGTTCGGGTTTTATCTCTGTGAAACTGTTATTATATGCATTTCCGTTAATCTAGCCATTTGTCAGACTTGAAGTTAGCGAACTTCAACCTTGAATTAAAATACTGACAAATAATGTTGTAACACACAAAACAAGTTGACAAGGTGTTTTAAACTAAAGTTGCTACGGAAATTATTTATAGTTATTTAATTATTCCATCTAATAACTTCAGTGAAGAATCCTGCACTGACATCTGTCGGATATAATCCAACACCTTTCGTGGTATTAGCCAGGGGAGTAGTTGTTTTCTGATAGTTATCAGTCCATTAACCTACAGTGTAGGTAATTTGAAACTGGCTCAAACGAATTGTTGCTACAGATGATTTGATTCATAGCCAGTATTCAAGTATGTGAAAAGATTTATAAAACTTCTTTCATTCTATTCAGATAAATCTCTGAACTTTTAAGGTTTTACAATTTATAGTACAGAATTTTTTTTGATTTCGACTGATTCTTCCGGATGTGGAATCTAAAGTTATTCATCTTTCATATTTTTAAGTTGGGATTTTATTACCATTTAAACATTTGACAGGCATCAGAAAACGAGAATTTCCGTATATTTGACATTTCATCGTAGCAAATGCCACTAAAATTTTTCATCGGTTCATTTTCAGACTTCAGTCACATTTATAAGCCGAGTAACGCGATATCGCTTTTCCGTGGAAAAGTTTATGCGTGTTTCTTCAGAGAATTTCATTATATTCATTCGTTGAACTTCGATTCGGAAATCGATATCGATCGAAAATTTCAATAAACACGACCATGTCCTACGTCAAAACAATGCGCTTCGTAACTTTAGTCTCCATTGTAAATTCATCAAAAGTTATAATAATTTTTTTTGTTTTTGTTCGATACTGTATTTATATTAAATTTTTTGTTTCAGGATTTATTAACACAAATGTTTTCCCATCGTTACAGTTACATGGTGAGTATGCTGAGCTTTTGTAACAATTTTTGGTCTCCCGCCGCTTCTGTCTGTCTGTCTGAACGCAACAAACTCAAAAACTATCAAACAGATGTATATACGGTGTTCACCAATTGAAGGAGTAATTCAAGTGGAACGTTTCTGTAATAGTTGGCGGGAATTCGGTCAAAATGTTGAAGAAAACCAATTTTTGAATTGTCGACGTTTCGAAACTTTATTGTTTCATCTCCAGGACGTTTCGAAACTTTATTGTTTCATCTTCAGGACAACGTATTTCAGAAACCTGTGTACGTATTTATATTTTATGTCGAAATTATCCACTTCACCCTTCAACTCGGAAAGCCGCCCTAAATAGTCCTGAAGATGAAACAATGAAGTTTCGAAACGTCGACAATTTAGAAATTGGTTTTCTTCAACATTTTGACCGAATTCCCGCCAACTTGACAATCAAAATCATTTTCAACGCTCGCCATCCTATTCAAATGTTTCTGTAATAATTCATCTTTTGTGTTGTGCTGATTGGCTGAAATATGACGACGTTATTCGTGCGAAATCGGAGCGGCTGTGCTACCAGTATGGAACCAAACCTTTCATCGCATTTTATCTGTATCTGGAGAGTAGGGAGGGTGAGTGTAGAACCACAGCACTTGGGCTACATGTGACCCATTGTACATCCTCCTGAGGAGTTGTCCTCCTAGGTCATCGTCCATTTTGGCCTTTCCAGGAAGGGGGACAGGTCACTAGGAGACATCTCCTTTATATTAGCAGGTGTAGGCCAAGACCCGCCGAACACACACTCTCTTTGGCAACCTTGAGATGTCTCACGGCAGCCTTCATGAATGTTTTGGAAGGTGCAACGACATTACTGTCGTTGCGCGGCTTCTTCAACCTTCTTGGGGTTCCCTCCGTGGAAGTGCACAAGTGAGGGAGCTTTCTTGCAGGGGCAGTCGGTTCCTTGCCTTTATTCAAGGCGGAGCTCTTGGCACCCCCTGCAAGAAGTACCCTTGCTGTTGGAGGTGATCTGCTATGTCAAGCCTCATTCCAAGCGGTAGATTGGGGTGGACATTTCTGTTCATCCCCAGCCACCGCCTTATATTGAGGTAAGCACTTCTGTCCAGCCTCGGGATTGGTTTTTATTTTTGTTGTATCTGTTTTGTTTGTTTCATATATGTGTGTTCCCACGAGTAGCAAGGGAAGAGTTGGTCACCTCTGGCAGATCCCTGCATTACCAGAGGTAGGCTGAATACAAGAGGTTTCGCCCAGTTCCCAAGGGGATCGTCCGTAACCGCATATCACCCTGCGGCCATTCAGCTGTCGGCACGATTCCTTACACCTTAGCTTGGGTAGGCTGGTCCACGGTGGCATGTTTTGTTTGCAAAGGCTTTGGGGGGTTTCAGTTCCCCTCACCTTACTTATTACTGACCAGGAGCCCGGCGACCTCGCCCGTAAGGCCACATTGGCTTCCCGGACAGGGCCTCCAGTCCACTGGCCGTTCCCCTGTCCGCCACCTGGGGACGCGCCCGATAGGTAGCCCAACCCACGGGTTCATCGCTGCCTAAGATATTACAAAACAGTTCACTACTTTTATAGATCTACAGAAAAGTCTGCAGTGGTATTTGTCTATCTTAGAAGGATATCTTACTATACCCATTTTTATGCTAAAACAATTGTTTATTATTTTTCCCAGAAGGTAAGCTGGTCGGGCTCTGTCCCCGAAGCTCAGACATAGTCTAGGGGGCGGCATTATCAACCAATAACCACCTCCCACACCGTGAGGAGTAATTATTGGGTCCGAGAATCATGTGCCCTGAGCAAACGCAGTGAACCAAGTGTGACAACCTTCTGCATCTGTCTGGCTGATAATATGATTGACCAATTCCAACTATTGTTTAAATTCACAACATAACCTAAATAACTATGATTCCTATATTCATTTTGCATTGGAGAGTTAATTATCAGGTTAGAATTCCTAAATTAGGTAACTATTACCCTCACTCACTAGTCGAGTTCTATGGATTAATAAAATAGTGCTAATCAACTTTTCTTCCCTTTCTAAATGAATATTCAGTTTACTATTACCATTACAATCAACATACAACTATAATTTATGCAATAAACTTGTTTTCCATGATTATTCCCACCATCACACTTTTCTACTATCCTACTCGTCAAACGTATGCTATAATAATATATTCATAATCATTGACGGTACTGAAAAATTGAATAAAAATGGCAGGAATAGCACTTCCTTGATTATGATTCGTAATTCCTTAATTTCAAAGACAAGATGCTCTTTTATTTTCATGGAAACAGATAACTTGACTTGCCGTTCAAATAACTGTAACAATCAAAAAGACAACCTAACCTTGAATAATGTCGATAATTCTGTCAAATACAGATCCCGATCATTCAAACGGGAAACAAGAGTTACAAAAAACAAAAATGCATACATACAGGTGGAGCTAATATAAAGCGTGTTAATAAAAAATTTTTTTTTTCAAATGAAGAAAATACATGTAATTATGTCAAGTTACGTACAGCGCCATCTGCCCGCGAATAGATCAAGCAATGATGTCGATAATTCGGTCAAATACAGATCCCGATATGAAAAGGAGAGTTACAAACAAACATACAGTGCGGTCCATATGTATGGAATGAATTTATTTTTAGCGTTATTATGTACTATGTGAAAAAACCTGAAGCAGGTCGATTTTTATTCTTAAATTGACAATTTTCAGTATGAAAATACTATCCCCCTCCAGCACCCCTTCTGAATTATAAGCACCCCCTCGAAAATTTTAAATAGCAAATGGGGTCGTGTGGCACCTTGTTGGAAAGGGATTTTAGTCCTCTGTTCAGCAATATAAAGTTTTTTAAGTTTGGTGCAATCATAACTGAGAAAATTAATTTTTGCAATTAAATCAAATGTTCAAAATGACCACCATTATTCACTTCTTGACAATAACCTAATCTATTAAACACATCATCCCTGTAACTAACTACTCCTTACTAACCTTGAATCCTGGAAAAAATCTTTGAAGATACTAAAATATTAGACAAAAAGCCAAATAAACAATTGATATGAATCTAGTAGGCTGCTGTCATTTAGGTATTTAAAGTTACTAAAAGACATCAGTATAATATTTGTGGGCGTATTGAATTTAATTATGGCTCATTTATCCGAGACTCAAAGAATATACATTTTAATTATGATTGGTTGTGGTAATAAAACAAGAACTCAAAAGGAGGTTTGTGAAATTTTTACTAATAAACACCCTGGTCAACACATTATCTTCATTCTACGTAAAGTTTTGTGATACCTAGAGACATTATCAAAATTTTACATCCTAAAAATCAATTTTCTCAGTTATGATTGCACCAAATTTAAAAAACTGAACAGAGGACTAAAATCCCTTTCCAACAAGGTGCCACACGACCCCCTTTGCTATTTAAAATTTTCGAGGGGTTGCTTATAATTCAGAAGGGGTGCTGGAGGGGGATAATATTTTCATACTGTAAATTGTCAATTTAAGAATAAAAATCGACCTGCTTCAGGTCAGAAAAAATGAATTTATTCCATACATATGGACCGCACTGTATATATATATACAGGAGACGACCTGGAAATAATGGACGTTTGAGACACGTCCAGGAAGTCCACACATACAGAGGTGGTACAGTAATGCTATGGGGCGGAATCATGATCGGCGGCAGAACCGATCTCGTTTTTCCAAATCGCTCCCTCACAGCTCGACAGTACCTCGACACCATTCTTCTATCTATCGTCCGTCCGTTTGCTGGTGCTGTTGGTGAAAACTTCCACCTAATGCACGATAATGCTCGTCCACATGTCGCGCGTCTAGTGACTGACTGACTCACCAACGAAGGAGTTGATGTATTGCCATGACCAGCACAATCACCGGACCTGAATCCCATCGAGCGTGTGTGGGACATGCTTCAACGAAGAATTACTCCGCATATGGGGAACATTCACACAACGTTTCAATTGAGAGAGCTTTTAATCGCTGAATGGGCAAATGTACCTCAACAAGACATTGACAATCTCATTTTGTCGATGCACGATAGATGTAGGGCCGTAATAAACCAGCGTGGAGGCCATACTTTGTACTGATTCCAATTTTTTTTGTATTATGATTTTTTTTCGGGGTGCCAAAGAAGAGCCATATTTTCTTTAGTTTTGCTTATATGCGCACTCAGTATTTTTGACCATTTAATAAATTTTGTTGTAAGTTACATTCGTTTAATAATCACCCGTCAACTTTCCGATATGTGTATACATGCATACAGGTGAAGCTAATAATAAAAAAAAAGTACGAAATTGGTTGAAATTTGAAAAACTTTTCGTACAAGTTTCTGAAAGAATATTTGATGATGCAGTTAATCAAACTGAAATTAATGTATGGTTCAGTAACGTTATAAATAACACCGTGATAAGATATATCTGAGAGGTTAGCAGGAATGAATGATGTTTTTCTAGTAGTTTCTTGAATGGAATTCTTTCGGTTGAAGAAAATATTCTCGTATTAGTGGAATGTGCGAGTACAGGAATTGTATTCCTCGGAATGTTGATCACGGCATCAATAAAAAAAGTCATCTGAACAAGAATCAGATCAAAATATTAGAAAAACGAAAATATCAGATCAGATAGTTGGAATTTCATGGCTGTTATTAGGAATACACTAATATTTGGGTAAGAATTCTTTTTTTTTTGAATGAATTCAGTTGATTTACATTTATTGATATACAATGTAGATCACATCGAACTTCCTTTAGGAAAAATGTATCATATAAAAAAGTGTCAGATACCAGCGCATTGGACTTTTTCGAATTATTCACCCAATATACAGCGTGCCGAGTAGGAGCGTAGCATATCAAAGTTTTTTAAATGAAATGTTATGTAACCATTGTCATTCTATTCGAGACAATAAAGGTTTGTCAAGATATTATTCACCAAGCGATTGGGAAATACGAAGAATAAT